ATGAACATGAAGAAAATGTAACACTGAGAGATGTGGCAGGTTTTCTTTTGATGTTATATTGGTTCTTTTATACATGTTGCTACTTTTCTATGATGAATTGCTTCATAAATATATGTAGATATATCCATTGTCTGTCTTTCTTTCTTTCTTTCTTTCTTTCTTTCTTTCTTTCTTTCTTTCTTTCTTTCTTTCTTTCTTTCTTTCTTTCTTTCTTTCTTTCTTTCTTTCTTAGGGTTTATGAAAGAAATAGCCATTATATTTAAATCTATATTAAATCCACATTTTATGATTTATAGTAATTATCTATAATTATTTTATCAGATGCTTTATAAAAAAGAGGAATAATCACAGTACCTATAGTATGTGGTACATTAAAACCGTGATCAATATTACCACTCTAGCTAACACTTAACACGTGAGCTGAAAGGTTTAATATTTTAATATTTAACATTTGTTTGTTTAGACGTGGATGAATGTGAGATTGGTGCCCACAACTGTGACATGCATGGTCTATGTCTCAATGTCCCAGGAAGCTTCAAATGTAGCTGTAAGGAAGGATGGATTGGAAATGGAATTAAATGTATTGGTGAGTAAAGATAAATTGATATAGTTGCTTGCCTCATAAAAAGGCATATATAAGTTATGTGTTCATTTTAAAATTGATTTTTTAGATTGATTGGTCACTGGGGATTTCCTCTTGCCGGTAGTAGAAAGTAGGGGCAGCCAGCTAATTGACTCTACAGTAACAGAGTCAGTTGTATACAGTATATACCATCAGGAGATGGATTTAGAAGAATCTCAACAAATTTCAGACAGAATCTTTCTTCTCCATATAGGCTAGTCAAATGGTTCCATTTTATATGTGGGTATATTAGTTACTTTCACAGCAAACATCATAAACAGTCATTTTACAACTTTAAATTTATCAGGATCTCCTATTCCAAAAGGTAATTTCAGACAACTTCCGCAAAAAGGGTGACCTTCACTGTCAGCTGTAAATTCCTTCCTAATATATTTTAGGCTGTGTATTCTATACAAAAATTAAATGTAGCTCTGAGAACTTCAGTAAACCAACCCCATTATTTCCCCAGTTCTCCCCAACATTTCAGAAATAGGAAGCAGTTATGCCCATCTTTATTCACCGCATCCTGTCTCAAGTTTCAGATGTTCTTCTGGTTTCAAAACTTCCTATCCTCACTGGTATCTTTAAAGTATATCTGTATATTTCACTATGTTTATACATTCAAATATAACCATTATCCATAAGACAATAGGTGATACTTGTATGATCACAGGTGTTTTCCTGAGAGGTACCATCTTGTGAGGTCATAACCATTCCCATCCTATAGTGTTCACCAAAAGTTTTTATGGCCTTAGTAACAGGCCTGAGACAGCATTTTAACAAATTCATCAATTTGCTGATGTTTCATAAATAAATATCAAACTATGCTTTTTTCTATCTATCTGAACCATCTTCCCTTCAGGTATTAGAAGATTGCCATCATGTTTCTCGTTATCAATAAATATTGATAAATCATTTCTGGTAATCTCTCAATACTACACTTAAAGATACACTGATGATCATATAAGACTCTCTGCCTTTAATTTCTGGCACAGGACTTTTGCTGTCTTATTTGTTGAGGTGGAAATGCCAGAGCCTGAACTTGGAAACTTCTGAAATATGACCAATTGTTTTTCAAGTGAATTATATCCTAATGATTTAGAGTATTAATACTAATAGACTTTAAGCCAATTTCTGCAAGACATTCTGTGAACTTTAGAAAGCCAAATGATGGTTACTTTTAATGTGTTTATGATTTTCCTCTTTCTAACTAATTGCTTTAACAGATCTTGATGAGTGTTCTAATGGAACACACCAGTGTAGCATAAATGCTCAGTGTGTAAATGCTCCTGGATCATATCACTGCACCTGTGCAGAAGGATTTACTGGGGATGGATTTACTTGTTCAGGTAAGAGAAAGATTTAAAATCATTTTGTGAAAGAATTATATTTAATTTAGAAGTAGAATTCAGAACCCCATGGGACAATGGATTGATTAAGTGTTTACTTTTATGCAAACCTGGATATGGAGTTTCATCAAAGCCCTAAACTTTCCCATACATAATTTCCAAATACAGATTATTTTGAAAATGGTGTATATATTCATCAGAGGATAAAATTGACTTTTCTACTAGTGACCTTTAAGAAAAAGTGAATGAAATTTATTTCTAATGTACAAATGCCTGATGTTGTAACATTTTAAATTCAACAGATATTGATGAATGTGCAGAAAATATTAATCTGTGTGACAATGGACAGTGTCTTAATATTCCTGGTGGATACCGTTGCGAGTGTGAGATGGGCTTCACTTCAGCTTCCAACAGCCGAACTTGCCAAGGTAATTCACCACAACTCTAACCTTGTTTTGAGAATCTGGATCAGATATGAGGAGGTAAACTACAAGTACTGGCAGAGCTTTTGGGTGATGCAGAATATACAGCATATGCTTTACGTATAAATAGCTGTTTTTCTCAAGCAGAACGACTTTGCTTCAGAAGCTCTAGTGAAGGTTTGTCTTAACTTTGAAGTTTTCATGGCCTTGCACATAAAATGTTACATTGAACAGTGGATTGACCATTTTTGTCAATTAACAAATAGTATGTAAAAAAATGTGCTGGTCACAACTTTGTATATATATATATGGAAATATACATTGATAATGGTTCTTAGAGAAGTAAGCCAAAAATAAGAATTTTGTATTTGTGGTAATATATTTTTCAGTAGATTTCAAAGTAAAATGAACCGTTTAATTTAGTGACATGGCTGTAGTCTGCCAAGGTGCAAATGTATCATATCCATCACATTTAGACCTGCTGTGATATTTTAAACTTTCTATTGCAGCTCCAGTTGTTTTATTGTTTTTATTGCTGACTTTATAAGTGTTCTAATATATGCTTTTATCAGTTCGTTTAGCACACTGTTTAAATTATTTCAAATTTTTTGCTTTTAGATTAGATTTTTTTTTAATGGAAAATGATATGCAAATATTTTCAAGTAAATAGTTTTCAACTAGTCTTCTTTAAAGTTTCATATCATATATAAATATTGTATTCTAAGATGTATACATTCTCTCCTTATTGTATAGTGTAATTAATATATTCAGCTCCCTCCCAGTAAAACCACAAGGAACCATAGACACATAAGACTTAGACCTTTCAAAACAGATTTGCATTTGATGCATTATTAGGAAATAAATTATTTGGGGTATGTATTGTATTCATTTTGGTATTATCCTTTGTTTCAGATATTGATGAATGTGCCTTCCAGAATATCTGTGTGTTTGGTACTTGCAATAACTTACCTGGAATGTTTCACTGTATTTGTGATGATGGCTATGAACTGGATAGAACTGGAGGAAATTGTACAGGTAAAAATATATGTGTGTATGGGGTGGGGGTGGGGGTAGATATGGATATGTATGTGTATTGTGTATAATCAATCCTTTGTGTAAAGAGGTCAAAGCAGGAACATTGAAACAAGCAGAAAGCTGTTACACTATACTACTATTTATTGATACTTAATAATTTCTTTTTCATGTGGACTGTTAGCAAATATTTCCACAAATGCAAAATTACACATTCTTCTTATTAATAGATCATTAATCATAAACAGTCTTCAAAAGAACAATATCAGCATAAAAAAAGAGAGATGTATACAACACTGTTTACTAACAGAATAATATGGTCATCTCTATCCATGATTTCTTCCAGGACACTGGAAGAATTTTGGGGAGCAGGGTAAGGGTTGCTGAGGACATAGTAAATCCTGTTCCAAAATCAAATGTCTGCTGTTAACACAATATTGAATGTTGCCTGGTATTGTCCCAAACTAATAATAAGATGAACAATAATCAGAGGAAAAAGTGAATAGAAGCCAGGCTTATCCATACACTTACTTTTTTAAAACAAAGAATTGTATGGGCGTGACTGCAGATAACAGCTTGAACAGAGAAAGTTTTCCTAACAGAGCAATTGTATGCATGTGGGTAAAGGGGTAATTATGGTTGCGGAACTCACTGCGATATCCATCTTGGTTCTGCTTGTTTCCCACTGATTAAAAGTAATGCAATGGAAAATCAATATGCCAGTTCCAAAGCTACCATACGTTTTTGCCCTAATGGTGGCATGTTGATGGAATGAGAGAGTTTTGAACCCTGCAGTGACCTGTCTAGCCTCTCTTGATCCCAATCCATAATGCCCTTGATATGTTTATTTTCCTCAGTGCAATCACCAATAACAAAGATAATTCTGCCCAAAATGAAGGGATCAGTAACCTGCAGATCTCTCTAATCTAATTTGGATAGATTAGCAGTAAAAATGCTTCATTTTTTTTTTTTGCTTCATTTTTTTAAATAAGAAGCTGACTAAAAATGCATATTTTGAAATACTGGAGATTTTAATACCTGTCTCAGGACTTGAGCAGTCAACAGCTTCAAAATCTGTTATTTGCCTTCTAGATTTTTATTTATAAAATTATATGGATATTAGATTACCATTGGGAATCTGGAACTGGATTGGGATTTTTTTTTCCAAGATAGGTATTTTAGTTCAAACCTAACTTAGTTTCAATAAATCTAGTAACACCTGATAAATTACAGACAATATTATAGTACATCATAATGTTTAATAAAGATACAGCATGAATCATTCACATAATTATAATAATAAACATGCCCAAGAATAAGAAATTTGTTTTTATTCCAAATGATAATTATAGATATGATATAATAATGCTATAATGACTATGAAATTGAATTAGATTGTATGTAATTAGATTTTGGTTAAAGAAATAATTTAATGTTTACTTCTTTTTTTCATTAAACTAATGGTTGCTAGAATATAGCTATGAAATCAAAATATAATGAAGTATTGATTGGTTTAGCATTTCAGAAATCAGTTTTGTGCTGAAAGTAATAGGTTTTGTGAAGTAAACAATTAAGGAAGTGTGTTGAGATTTTTTTTCATTATGAAAAAATAATGAAATGAATATAAAGGCTTAACATAATTTTCAGATGCATATTTCTTACTTTAGATATTGATGAGTGTGCTGATCCTATAAATTGTGTCAATGGCTTTTGTGTAAATACTCCTGGAAGATATGAATGTAACTGTCCTCCAGATTTCCAGCTGAACCCAACAGGAGTTGGCTGTGTGGGTATGTAAGATTATAATAATTTTACATAAGTAGAAAGAAAAGACTGCCCCAGGGATGTCTGTTGTGGGAGACAAGAACAAAAATTGAAAACAAATATTTCATGATGCAAATGGTTCAACTTCATTAAATGCACTAATCCAGTGGGATTGGCTGGCAAAAAGTCATGCATTGTGTTCAAAGTGGTTCTTAAGGAACAGATTTACAAACAAGAAATTAGGGGGTTATAAAGGAACTTGAAATAACCACAATTATAGCCCATGACTGCACTGTAATTGAGCTTTCAAAAAGTCTACTATAGGTAGTCCTTGCTTAACAACCACTCATTTAACAACGGTTCAAAGTTACGACGGCCTTGGAAAAGATGCTTTACAACCTGTACTCACACTTAGTGCCGCAAACCATTGCACCACCACCCCCATAGTTGTGATTTGAAACCTTTTTATGATGGTTGTTAAGTGAATCACGTGGTCATTAAGTGATTTCTGGCAAAAAAGTTCATTGGGGAATCTGGATTCGCTTAATGGCCATGTGATTTGCTTAACAACCATGGTGATTTGCTTAAGGACCATCATAAAAATGGTCGTAAAATCGGGTCTGGTCATATGGTGACTTGCTTAACAACTGCCCCACTTAATGATGAATTTTCTGGTCTCTATTGTGGTCTAAGGGGAGACTACTTGTATTCTGCACTTAAAATATTATGCATTGGAGTATGTGATATATGTTCACATTATAAACACAGTAATATTGTACGGTGTGTTTTGAGATGTGCCTGGTGATTTCAGATGAAAGGGAACACATATTTAGGTATGGTAGCTAGGTTAGGTGAAAAAAAAAACAGCCTGATAGTCATAGTCAGTGCTTCATAGTCATTAACAATAAACAAGCTGTTCCTTAGCCTATTTATGTAAATCTTATTGGGTTTCTTCTCTAAACACATTTCTGGAATACTGTAGACCTTTCTGTGTTGAATATATCTCCACACCCACCAAATTGTTTCCTTCACATGGTACAGAATAGAGGAGAGATCAACTGGTGTTCTACTTTCCATCTCTGTTCTGTTGCTGTTAGGTAAATAAAAGGGTTAAAGCTAGAAAAACCAAAGGCCATTCTCTTTGGGTTAATTACCCAGAGTATTGCTTCCAGTGGCTGTGGAAAATTCTGTGCCTTTTGATAAATATATGAATACTGAAAATGTAGACTGTTGTTTTTAAGTTTCCTTTTATCTCTTGCCTGTTTTCCGTATCTCTCCCTGCTCTTGCCTATCTTTTTTCCTATTTTGGCAGTTAGTTGTTTTTTTATGTTTGCTGATTTTTAATTAATAAATATCAAGCCATGTTTTTTGCTAGCCTGGTATGCTCATGCTTGTGTGCTTGCTTTGATCTGGATTTAGGGACTGACTGGGAGTGTGCTGGCTGCAAACCAAACTAGAAATTACACACAGTCATTTTCCAACATTCTGCAAATAAACATAGGCTAAATTGTGTAACCTAAACTTTGTTTCACAAGCTTGTGGAAATAATGAAATGAATGTATTGCATCCTAATCTGAATGGAATACAGGAGGGGGTGTAGGAGTAAAATACATAGTTATCATTTTGCAGTCTCTATATAATAAATGTGAATTCATTCATTCATTCATTCATTCATTCATTTTGCCTTTAGCCCAGTAAAGAATACTTATGGTGTTAATAGCCTTACATTTAAATTAAAACTCAGAGGTTTTCATTTTATTTAATTTTAACTGAAACAACTTCCTGATATTAATAATAAGGATAAAATTAAAACTAGTTACCATAGTTACATGCTATTTATTTATTTAAATTTGTACACTACCTGACTCACAATGAGTCTGGGCAGTGTCATTTTAGATGACACACTGATCAACACAGCTTAATTTTCTTTTGTTCTGTACAGATAACAGAGTTGGCAACTGTTACTTGAAATATGGACCAAGGGGCGATGGGAGTCTCTCCTGCAATACTGAAATTGGTGTTGGAGTCAGTCGTTCTTCCTGCTGCTGTTCTTTGGGAAAAGCCTGGGGGAATCCCTGCGAGACATGCCCACCTGTAAATAGCAGTAAGGAAATGACTCTGTTAGGTGGGAGGGCAAATAAGTAATATAATAAGGAATAAAACAGATAACATTGCTATACACACATAAGTCATAAGACTTTCTGTAAACCAGTGCTTATGAGCAAACAAACATTTCTCAGAGGTGATACATCAACTTGTCAAAGTTTCTTGCTATGCTTCTGCCACATGTCAGACAAATCCTCCTGCCTTTATTTTATTCTTGGTTGTCCTTTTATTTAATCCCTAGGTGAATATAATACCCTGTGTCCAGGAGGCGAAGGTTTCAGACCAAATCCTATAACAATTATCTTAGAAGGTATTTTTTTTTTCTTTCATTGTGACCACTATTGGTTTTGCTGTTAGTAATGTCAGGTTTGATAAACTGCCTGTAAAAGGGAGATTGTCAGACTGAGTTTAGAGAAAAAGTAGATTCAAATTTAGAATAAGGATATGAATGAACAAGTGCCTATTGAAAGAACATAGACTACAGTAAAATCTTTATGTATAGATGGGAAGATAGATAAAAGTTAGTTCATGGTAATAATCCATCTTTTCCCATTTATTATAGTTTTTCCACCAATTCACAATTTCCTTTTAGAATGTTGAGGTCTTTAGGATTTCTTGTTGGATTTGGGAGGTTTTACTGTTAAGAGGGAATAAGGATGGTATTGTTACATGAGTTGCCCACATTTTATTACTTTTGCTAATTTCACCATCGCTTCAGCAAAAAAAAAAAAAATTAATTAGAAATATAAATTGTCAGCTCTCTACTTGATTATTGGTTCCTGCTGGAAGGTAGAAAAAGTCTGAAAAGGAAAGGTTACTGGATTTTTATTGAAATACACTGCGAAAAGCACTGTAAATTTGACTTGGTTAAATCAAATTAATTAAGCCAGACACTAATAGTAACTATGATTTAACCACAATGATTTCAGTAGGGGAGCCAAATGTGCTTAATATTCTAATATAGTACTTAATATTTTTCCATCCAAAATTATGAGAGTGAAATGTTCTTTAACTTCAGCTGGATAATAATTTATTTGCAGCTTTCCCCCCAGATCTCTGTCATAACAAAGTAAGCAGATTTAGAATAAAAAGTAAAAGCATAAGTTAATCATTTAAAAGTGGTCTGCTATAGTCTTTCATGTAATTTTCATCAGCCAAAAAACATGGCCTTCTTTTTTGTTGCAGACATTGATGAATGCCAAGAATTGCCTGGTTTGTGCCAAGGTGGAAACTGCATCAATACTTTTGGCAGCTTCCAGTGTGAATGTCCCCATGGGTACTATCTCAGTGAAGAAACCCGAATCTGTGAAGGTAAAAATTCTTATTTTTTCTTATAGCAGGAAAGGAAAAACAATATTCTTAAGCAATGTTTTGCCCCACAACTGTTTTCCTCCTGAGAATATTATGTAGGTATTTAATGTGGGGTCGTAAATTAAAGCTTGTGGGTTCTAGCTACTCTACAGATCAAATTACTGAATTTGTCATAAATAATAGAAATTGAATCCTGCCTTCTTTGCCTTCTGATATTAGCCCAAATAGTTGGATGCAAATTCTGTCCTTTCCAATGAAACTTATTCAAAAGTAGGTTCAAGTAGTAAGTTCAAATATGTGTTTATGTCTCTGCCTTACACACACACACATGCACACACACACACACACGCAGATCTCATATAATTTAAGAAAGGTTCAAAGGACTTAAAATGATTAATTTATAGTAATTACAGTATAATTAACTGTAAAGTACAATTGATGTACTTAAGTTTAATCTATGAATATACAAACTCTGAATTAATTTTATTTGATTCAAATTTGGCATGCCTGCTTCATTTCTTTTTTGTCTTTTGACATAATGGCAACTTCATGGAACTGATCTATACTGGACCTGAAACAGAGAAGGAAAGTTAACTGTAACAGTATCCTAAGACACTGTTTTTCCAACTGCATATCTGTCAGGTTCAAGCAGTGATTTTCAGTGAGAATGTAGCATAGGGAAAACATTGTACTACTGATGCAGCTTGTGAATCATGTAGTTACTGTTGATTTTTAAAATATGAATAAATGAGTAAAATGAGTAAATGAGTAAAAAAACCCACAGGATTAAAAGATCTATTTATTGTTACAGTGGTACCTCGGGTTACGAATTTAATCCGTTCCGTGACTCTGGTCACAACCCGATTTGTTCGCAACCCAAAGCAAATTTTCCCATAAGGTTCAATGTAATTACCGTTAACCCGTTCCGGTGTCTGCGGACCACGCGTCAAGGGCGGAAAAACGGCCCCGGACCGCACGGCAGGGCAGAAAAACGGCCGCGGACCACGTGGCACAGGTGGAAAAATGGCCACAGACCACGTGGCACGGGCGGAAAAATGGCCGCGTGGCACGGGCGGAAAATGGCCGCGGACCACGTGTCATGGCGGAAAATGGCCGCGGATCCGGTTCGTACCCCGAGGCGGAGTTCGCAAACCGAGGTAAATTTTTGCAGCCGGACCTGGTCGCAACCCGAAAAGTTCATAAGCAGAGGCGTTCGGTACCCGAGGTACCACTGTACTTTGAGAACTTCATAGTAGAGTGTCTCAATTCTGAAGTCAGTTCAGTAAATCCAGAAGTAGCTCAGCTTCATTTGAAAATCATTTTCATTTCTTCGATCTATTCTATGTTTAATATTTGCTCATTTGTTATTATTTGTCATTTTTACTTATTGAAATTAATTTTGGTGCTTGATTTTTTTCCCCAGATATTGATGAGTGTGTTGCACATCCTGGTGTGTGTGGACCTGGGACATGCTATAACACCTTAGGAAACTATACCTGCATTTGCCCCCCAGAATACATGCAGGTGAATGGAGGACACAATTGTATGGGTACGTTTTCATATTTACACAGTGCCATATTGACTTTCTAAAACTCCTAAAACTTAGGACCAGTTTACACTGATAGTTGTTTCTATGCAAGTATCTTAACAGCAGGCAAAGACTATAAGCAGGATTTGCACCAAAGCAGCATTTATGTAGAAGCATCATATGTGGCGAGGTGTTTCACTGGAAAAGTGAAACAAGTCCCTGAAGTTTTCTTGGCAAGATTTCAGAAGTGGTTTGCCATTGCCTGCTTCCTAGGGCTGAGAGGGAGTGGCTAGCCCGTTGTCACTGGCTTTGTCTCTAAGGCAAGACTAGAATTCACGGTCTCCTGGTTTCTAGCCTGGTGTCTTAACCACTACACCAAACTTTCTCATCAGCTAAACTTGGGTATATTTGTTAAAACAACCTAAATCTTGGCTGTTATTTTTATTGTTTGCTAAATATCCCCTTTGAAACATACAATCTAATATTAAGTAAGTTTACTTGGAAGTAAGCTCCAGTTTTCAGTGGGATTTACTTTCAGGTAAATGTGTATGTTATATATGTATATATTCATATTTATTATTAATTTGTGTGCATATGTAGACACACCCATGCACATACAGATATCCCCCCGAAATTACGTATCTACTCTAGATATCCCACACATAAATTAAACCAAACTAAAACGCTTTCTATACTTTGTTCTGTCCAAATTGCTTTTGAAGCAATGAGTACTGGAAGAAACATGTTTAAAGTAAAGGTATATCCTGGGCTTTGCGACACAGAGTGCCCTTCCATACTAACGATGCATTTATTATTTTTTTCTTTATTCCTAGTTTCTTTGATTTTGTAATCATGCCGTTTTTTGGAGCTATAAGAGGTCAGATTGATCCAATATGAATAAAAAAGTTACATGAATCTTAGCATCCCTGATCTCGTGATACAGTTTTTTTCTGGAAATTTAAGATTTAAAAATTAACCAATACCTCTATCATGGCTGAGTTTCCTACCTGTCCAGTTCTTTTCCTCATCTACTTGAATAAACCATGGGATATAAATATAGCTGGTGTATCTTCTGCTGTGTTTTAGACAAAATTCAGCTTAGTTAGCTACAAAATCTCTTAGCATGGTATGTACAGAAAAAGTTTCTAATTCAGAACCAATATTTCTGAAATATTCTACAGGATATTTTTTAAAGTATATGATTTTTATATCTTTAGATATGAGAAAGAGCTTTTGTTATAGAAGCTACAATGGAACATCTTGTGATAATGAACTTCCCTTTAACATTACCAAGAGAATGTGTTGCTGCACTTACAATGTTGGGAAAGCCTGGAACAAGCTGTGTGAGCCATGCCCAGTTCCAGGAACAGGTAACAATTCATTTACATTTTCTTGGAGCAATTTATATTTAAATGACATCTTTGATACTCGCTTTAATTTATTTAGTGAATAAGTGTAGGTATCATGGCAGCTTTAGCATAAGATGTTAGCTTGACTTTCAGTTTCACAGTAAGGAAGAAAGTAACTTTTTAGCCCTTTTTTCCTTCCAGTATTGTGTTTTATTTCCTGTACAATCAAACTTGTTAAAAATAAGAATTCTGATTCTCAGATAGCAATGAAAGAAAAAGAATTGAAGTGAGAATGCCGTCCTCTTTCATTGGTTAATGCTTTCCTTTCCTGTTGCTGCATTTTGATGGGAGAACTAAATAATTCAAAAAAGGCAGGAATTCACAATTACTATATCTTTATGCAATCCTATCTTGCAGTGATCAGTCACTATTACAGCTAATATTTGGATTATATAATGTGCTTAATTTTGGCTGAAGAAAATATTCCTATATGGAAGGTAGAACAGTGCAATTTGTAATGCAATATTTTCTTCAGAATTACTGGGTTTTATACTTCCTTGTTTCGTCTCCAATTCTGGTTTTTCATTTGCTAATCCAAGGAAGGCAAGTATTATATTAATGATGTGAACCAACTAGTTTAAAATTACTGAAATATACATGTACTACTTTTAGAAATAATGGTATATCTGTCTAACTCTTGCAATGGATTTTATTTATTTATTTATTTATTTTCTATAGCATGTATGTTCTTTTCCTGTGTATTAAATGTATTATTTAGTTAACTTGGGGAACACTATCTTTGTTAGTGTTTGTAGTATTTTTATTATAAACAGTAAAGAATTATATTAAGTGGCTTGAACGAAGAGGATGAATAAAAAAAATATTCTATACAGATGTGCATTTGGTATATGATAAGAATAATATGGGAATCCTCTGCAGTGGTTTTATGAGATATCATATTGTGCAAAAAGAATAATTAATTATTTGAAAATTAAATATACTTACAACTTAATAAAATACAGTATGCCTATACAACCAGAAGTATCCCATCCTTGTTGACTTTATTCATATATTGGACATGAGATTTTTGACAAATCTCAAAAATAAGGGTGATGTCTCTCTCTCACTTCAGATTATTCTGGAAGTGATCTGATTTTCTCCTCATACCAGATAATGCAGACATTTTTTTCAAGTCTTTTGAAAATTTGAAAAAATGACAGCTAGACAATAACAGGAAAAGAATGAGAAAAGGCTCTCCATCTAGAGAAGGACCTGAGAATTAAAAGACGTGCTTTTATTTGAGATGGGTGTCTACAAGCCTCTGGAATTGTACTCATGCTTGGCTCAGGAGAATTTTGATGCAAGTGATAGATAATTAAATAATTACAAGGATTGTAAAATAAAACTACGAAGTATTTTTAAACGAATTGAAATAAATATAAGTTTTCCCCTTTTTGTCACTTAAGTTGAATTCAAAACATTATGTGGAAATATTCCTGGTTTCACCTTTGACATCCATACAGGAAAAGCGGTTGGTAAGTTTGAAAGCTGTTGCATTATTTAAACTACATAAGCTGAGAATGTGAGACTGTGATAAGCAATCCTCTTTTATTTTTAATTACCTTTTAAAAATTAAGTCATGAATAAAATTTTGACTTCTCTTCCCTACTGCTTTAGATATTATGTGTTTTCTCAACACCCTCTCCCTGAATTATGTTTTAAATATACACTGAAATAAGTTCAGATATTTACATACGTAGATATGCACAAGTTTCTGTCAGCTTGGTATCCCTCATTAAATTGAGTCACTTATTTGCAATAAAATACATCTATATAAACATCTCCATATGTATGTAAACTATTATTACAGGGGAAAAGCCTAGTCTGATTCCCTATGCTTGTACTGTAGCTTTTTATGGATTTATTTTCTCTTGGAAAAATTCCTAAATGTGCTAAAATTATATTAACTAAAATGAAATATTCTTGTTACCATTTTAAGTGCCATGCAATATTTTATATGTCTATATTTTAGTAAAATATTAATGCAATTTTTATTGCTTGCATAGAAGGAACTTCAGACCACACATGGACTGTTGGCAATATTAACCCAATGCATTTGACTAATGAACATTCATTTTTCAGATATTGATGAATGTAAAGAAATTCCAGGTATTTGTGCCAATGGTGTTTGCATTAACCAGATTGGGAGTTTTCGTTGTGAATGCCCTACAGGATTTAGCTACAATGATCTGCTCTTGGTCTGTGAAGGTGATATACTTTTTTGTATAGCCTGATTGTCACCGCAACTGTATGTGTTTCAAGCTGGTGCAAATAGCAGAGTATATGCATTGACAAGTATATGCAGATTTTACACATTTGCACTGCCAAATCACCGTTATCCCACAATGATCAACTGTGATTGAGTGGGCCAGAAAAGAAAAAAAATGCACAAGATGAAATACTTGTGGAATGTTGGTACATATTCTCCCACAGAAACTTTGTGAATGTTTCTTTTACACAGAGCCTAATTGTTAGAATATATAAGAATTTTAATGTCTGTTGAAAAGATAAAAGGATGCTTGTTTTTGAAAAATAGATTTCATTGCATTTCATTGAATTTCTGGCTTAGTTTTTGCAATATAAGTCTTCAGCTTGTCCATTAACTTTTAAACCTTATTATTAGTTATTCTTCTTTTCCTAATATAAGCCAGTCTGTGTATTGTCTTATTTCACAAGATAATGTTTATCTTGCTAATTTGATTTCCTACTTAGAAAAAAAAAAAGGAAGTAATAACTCTCTTGTAAGCATCAATGTTGCTTAGGAAATGTTATGTTTATGTTCCTGTTATTTGCTATGTTAGAAGCAAAATGATAGATTTATTCAATAATTTTAATCCTCCTGATAATTTTTCTATTACCTTAAGTTATCGTTTTAAAAATATATTTGGGGACATACAAGTTTCCTTCTTGACAATGTTGTAATATTTTAATTAAAAATAAATTAAAATGCTATTTATGACTTAACATACCAAGTGTACTGTAAAATACTAGGGATATATATTGATAATAAATCCATTTAGATTTTAGATTTCAACTGGAATGTAAAATTCATGTTTAAATTGTTTGATTAAACTTAATGGAATATAAAAGTGCTTTAACTGATTCATATTCACTGTACCTTGCTCAGTGTAGAAAATACCTGAATGTTTCATAGTGGTAAAACACATATATTGACTCTTAATCTTGGATTATTGATGTCACAGATATTGATGAATGTAGCAATGGTGATAATCTCTGTCAACGAAATGCAGATTGTATTAACAGCCCTGGTAGTTACCGCTGTGAATGTGCTACAGGTTTCAAACTTTCACCCAATGGTGCCTGCATTGGTAAGGAGTCACTTGTGATCAGCATTTTGCTTAATATTCATTTTAGCTACATATTTTCCAGATTTCTATACTGAATTTACATTTTGTTTCACCATTTTTTAAATTCATAAGCAGCAAAATGTAGTAGGAAAACTGCTCTTGTAATTTCCTTCAGTATAGTTAATATATTGATTTTAACATGCATAAAGAAGAAAGTTTTTCCAAAGGATGCTGACTCAGAGAATAGAGCTTTTTCTTAGGACAGTTTGGTTCAGAGAGTAGACTTTAGCTCTAATAATCGTTAACAGATTCTAGAAGTGGAATTATGAGTAATAGATAAATTATAATACCATAGATAAATATGTACATCATGTGTTTTATATTTTGTTTTAGATCGCAATGAATGCCAGGAAATTCCTAATGTATGTAGTCATGGCACATGTGTGGATAAAGAGGGGAGCTACTACTGCATCTGTCAAAATGGTTTCAAGGCATCCCACGATCAAACTATGTGCATGGGTATATGAATAAATATATAAAACGCTTAAATTATAAATCTAGAAAATTGCTAAACTGAAGATTGGATGGCAGTGGCATAATTCTCAGGGAACTATAAGTTCCATATGCACAGATAAAATGTAATAATTAAAAACTGTCTTATGTTAAGCTTTCTACCTGTTACTTACTAGGAGTGTTGAGACTACAACTCTCAGAATTTCCAGATAGACAAATATTGGTTAAGTTGTATTATATGAATGAAGTCAAATCAAATCAAATAACACTATTGGAACTGAACATCAATTGTCATGGAAGATTAGTGTATTGATAATACCCAGTTACACATCTCCTACACATCTGGCCTACACATCTGGCTGAACTGTAAATCCAGTTGAAATTCTGTCTTGGTCCCTGCAGGATTTAAGGGTATCAGTGAGGAGGAACAGGTTTAGCCTCAATTCCTACAAGATATGGTGGCTCTCGATGCAGAAACCAACCAGATTCTAATAGCATTTCTTCTTTGGCCCTGGATGATGTTGTGTTCTCTCATGTCTAACAACCTGGCAGTATTCTTGGACTCATGGTTCCTGCTGAAAGAGCAAGTGGAAACCTTGGTCATGATGACCTTTGCACAGTCTCATATTGTACACCAACCACAACCATTCCTGCACCAAGAGATTTTGTAAAAGGTCACTTATATCAAGAAACTATCTTATATTCACTTATATTCAGAAACTATCCTAATTTAGAATGCAGCAGGTTGAGTAGTCATTGGTATGTCATGGCTGGCCCATGTGACACCACTAGTTAGGGAGCTGCAATAGTTGCCAGTTTGGGTTGAAGAGCAATTCAAAGAGCTGATCTTTTCCTTTAAAGCCCTTTAAATTATATGGCAAAAATTATTTAATTAATTAATTAATTAATTAATTGACTGGATTTACAGGTAGTCCTCGGTTAACAATGGTAATTGGGACTGGCAATTCTGTCACTAAACAATGCAGTTGTAAAGCATGACATCACGTGACAACACTGACTTCAGATAGCAGTTCCGGCAGTTCCAGTTGTCATTAGGCAAATCTTGCACGATTGTTAGGTGTGATGTTAGCAGTGGAACAGCTTGCCTCCCGGAATTGTGGATGCTCCATTGCTGGAGGTTTTCAAGAAAAGATTGGAAAACCATTTATCTGAGATGGTATGATGACTCCTGCCTTGGACAGGAGGTTGGACTAGAAGACCTCCAAGGTCCCTTACAATCCTATGATTCTATGATTGCCATTTGCGACCTCTTGCCAGCTTCCCCATTGACTTCATTTGTCAGCAGGGAAGGTTGCAAATGGCAATCACGTGACCCTGGGATGCTACAACAGTCATAATTGCAAGCTGGTTGCCAGGCACCCAAATCACGATCATGTGACTGTGGGGACACCGTGATGGCCGCAACTTCAAGGACTGGCTGTAAGTCTTCTTGTTCAGTGCTTCGTAACTTCAAACAGCCGCTGGATGGATGGATGAATGAATGAATGAATGAATGAATGAATGAATGAATGAATGAATGAATGGTTGTTAACCAACGGCTATCTGTATAAAGCTGCCCAACTCAAACAATGTGGCTGTCGGCAGCGTACAGCAGAATAACAAACAATACACCAAAAGAACCAAATAGAATATATACGTTATATAAATATAAAATACAAAATATAAAATGGTGACCAAACACAATAATAAAAACAACCAAAAGGGGACTCCACTCAACTAGACCCAAACATTGGAAGAAAAAGTCATGCTTAACAGCTTTCCTAAAGGTGAGCAGAGTTGGAGCCTGTCATATATTGGGAGGGTGTGTGTGTATGTGAGATCATTCCAGAGCACAGGGCCAGCCACCAAAAAGGCAAGATTTCTAGTTCCCATAACGTGACAAAGCTTAAAAGAGGAAAACTGGAGCCTACCCTCCCTGTGGGAGAGTATGGGCCAGATAGATGTTCTTGGGAGAAGGTGGTCCTGCAAGCAACTCAGTCCTATGTCATGTAGGGCTTTAAAGGTGATAACATTGCAGCTCACAGAGTAGCAGTGTTACATGGGTAATGAGCTACACCAATAACAACCTGTGTCACTGCATACTTGTTCCATTGATAAGTACAATTATATGACAGATTATGATTATGACTTTATTGTTGCTATAGTTTTGTTGTTCATTTATTGTTTTTTAATCCCAAAACTGTAATTAGAAGTGTAAGCTGCCCAGAATCATTTTCTGAGAGCCATATAAGTTTTAGTAAAACAAACAAGCAAATACAAAATTAATTTTTATTATGAATAATTTGTTTGGTATTAATGTTTTCTATCTGTAGATGTTGATGAATGTGAAAGACACCCTTGTGGAAATGGAACTTGTAAAAACACAGTTGGATCATATAACTGTCTGTGCTATCCAGGATTTGAGCTAACTCATAATAATGATTGTATGGGTAAGAGAATGAATATCATTTAGAAAGAGTGATGATATAATACATTCAAACAGAAACATGGAAATGCTGTAATATTTATTTCAGTCCTATAATCAGAAAAAAGTATGATAATCTTTCAATTTCATGGGTTTTATTGAGAAATGTCATTACGATTATACTTTTAACTAGTCAGAATTAGCATAAAGAATTTTTGGGTTGTTATTTCGCAGTTATTTCTTTGTTGTTGTTTTATGTAGCCTTTTCTTATATTTCTATTCTATCAATTTGTAGCCAAACACCAGCCCTTAATAAGAATGGTAGATAATATGAGGGTATTCTACCAAACTTTCTTATGAGTCAAACTCAGATATGCTGCCTTGCTTTTAGATCAAACATAGAAGATCCCTAATTGGCTCACGCTTGAAGTAACAAAGACTCTGTTCTTTTCTAAAAACACCTTTTCTGAATTTGGAGATTTACTTCTAACCAATTATAAATAACCTTCCTACCTTTTTTTTTTTTTTTGGCAAGTCACTCAAGAATGTGATGGTTAAGCAGTTGCAGTCTGGATTTGGGGACAAAATTGGCCCTAGTTGCTCTCATTGGTTTGGAGAGAAATGGAAGGAGTGCTGTGTTGATCCTGCATGAACTTTTAGCAGCTTTTGACACCCTCCCTAACTGCAGAATCTTCTGAATAATTTCTGCAAGTGAAGACTGTGATGTTTTACAGTGGATCCATCAGTGTAAAGGTTTCAGAGAGTAGAATTACATGGTTGCACTTTTACTCTCTGGCATCTATATTGTAGAATTCCACAGAGTACTATCTCCAGTATTGAGTTAAAGTATTATCCTCTGATTCATAAATCAACCCAAAACTATATTTGTTGTCCCCATTGCCAATCCATATCCTGTCTCTGTTGCATCTATTTAATGTCACTGCCAAAGTGAGGTATCTTGATTTGTGAGTGTGTCAGCCAGCTAGGCAAGTTGATTGGGTTTATCCTCTTATTTCCTGCTGTACCCCTCCAGCATATTCTCAGCTAGCAAATATCAACCAGAATATAATAGTGCTATCCATTTCCCCCACGAATGCCTCCCCTGAAATTGGAAGATTTTCTTTCTTCCGCTAAACTGAAATGCTCTCTCATTTTCCACTATCTAGTAGGTGAATGTGAATGGGCTGTTTCAGCTCAATTTAACTCTTCCTGCTTCTAGCATTTTCCTGAACTAGATTCCATACCTGGGGCTGATACCAGCTATTAGGACTGTATGCAAAGACTTGAAGGAGTACTTTGCTTCAATCAAAGACTTACTCAAAGCAACCTCCCTTTGACTCTCCGCCATAAAGTGCTGCAGCTATACTGGCTTCTGTATATGCACAAAAGATGGAGATCAAAATTTATATGCAAATATTTCTGGTCTTTCTGAAATATGTTTCTTTTGTGTATGAAATATTAAAAGGTAAAGATTTGTCTAGTAATATATGTTCATTAAATAATCTGTGTCTTAAAGTGCTAGAAAGATTGCTTTTCACATACAAGGACCTCATTCCTTACCAGCTATGTTTTGTCATTTCCATGACACTATCCACTGGGATGTGTTTATACCTTAATATGGTAACTCTGTCTGCATATGCATTCCATTATATTAAGCTCATGAGAAATACCTAATTTTTTTCTTGCTTATTTATAGATATTGATGAGTGCAGTTCCTTCTTTGGGCAGGTGTGCAGAAACGGAAGGTGCTTTAATGAAATTGGTTCTTTTAAATGTTTATGTAATGAAGGTTATGAACTTACTCCAGATGGCAAAAACTGTATTGGTATGTATAAAAGCAATTATCAAGTGTGAATGTGCCTTATGATACAATGTAATCCACACTCAATAAGCTGCACTGGACATTGTGGGATATACTTTTTCATAAATTTTATAATATTCCTCTGGGTTTTTAGGCACCACATATAGTATTGTGTAATTACTTTACTTATTTGTTTGTATGTATGTATGTATGTATGTATGTATGTATGTATGTATGTATGTATTGGCTGCCCACCCCAGTGTAATTATGTATGTGCTTACTTAGAAATAAGCTGAAATCAAATTAATGTATTTTTAAAAATTATTCATTATAGATTATAATCATGAGGAGTATGAATTCTGGGCATAAAGTACTGAGAATGAGATGTTATATTAATGAAAGAAATGGCAAAGGTTCAGTTATACTCATATTTTAAAAAAATTAAAATTAAGGAAACCCAATAAAGGGACTTCAAGAATGCTGTCAGTGGATAAGTATACCTGGACTGAAGGGCAATCAAGAACTCAAGAAGTGAAACAAAACCAGTTCTCTATTTCTCTCTCTTCCTGACGCCCTTCCTTTCCATCAAAATTTTGGTTTTGCTCTTAGCTATTTTGGTTGCAGATTTGAAGTAGCTATCTTGATTTCTGTAGGAAAAATTGACTATTAAATTTCCATGCAAGAGATTTGATTATGCTCTATCTGCAGGAGCTGATTTTAGAAACATTAGACATAATCCTTTCACCTGAAGATTTATCAGTTCTTCCAGCCATGATACTTTCTTGAAGATAACAATTTTATATAAATGAACCTATTATAAAAGAATCCAGCAGATCAGCAATAGAAATGAGGGAAGTGCAATCAATTCAAGTTCTGTGCAATATTTGCATATTGTGCCTATGTATATTAGTATGGTGTGGCAATGAAAGTATTGAACTATGACCAAAAATTAAAATCCATCTGCAGCTGTGAGAGCCACTGGGTGATTATGGGCTAGTCTCTCAGCAATACCTACTTCTACTTATTGTTATGGAGAAATAACAAACATTATTTTCCAGGATGAAAGACAGGATATAAATTTAAAAAATAAATTCAGCCCAGAATTCTTAAATCTATTTATTTATTTTTCAAATTTGTCACCGCCCATCTCATTAGAAAACAGCTGGGCAGTTTACAGGAAAAATAAATATTAATTAAAAATACAATGTAACAATTAGTCCTAAGTAAATAGTAACTTCCAAGCTAATTGATGTTAGCTAAAAATTATTAGCCTCGGGGAACATCATCAGGGCACCAGCCACGCCCAGGGTTGATTAAAACTCTTGCCCCACGCAAGCTGGCAGAACTAGGTCTTTAGTTCTTTCCAGAAAGCCAGGAGGGAAGAGGCCTGCCGCACTTCTGGGGGGAGAATATTCCAGAGGGTGGGGGCCATGGCAGAGAAGGGTCTCCTCCTGGGCCCCGCCAGCTGACATTCTCTCTAAATGTCCTCTTTTGTCTCCATTCTGTTGAGATATTAATGAGTGTGTGGTACTTCCTGGCTCATGCTTTCCTGGGACATGTCAAAATTTGGAAGGATCATTCAGATGTATCTGCCCACCAGGATATGAAGTAAAAAGTGAAAGCTGCATTGGTAAGGCTACCTTTTCTTTTTGGACATGGTTTACATGGTAGCAATATTATAGAACTGTTTATAGAAAATTTAAGTATTGTGCTACACACAGAAGCATATGTGTATGCATGTGTGTGATTGTGCTGTGATACCAGAAACATACAAAGCCTTCGTGTTTAAGCAACACAAAATTTAATAAAAACTTTTAAAAACTTATGTTTTGTGATTTAGAGAATCCATGTTGAATTACATTCAAGCAAAAGTAATGGTTTTGAGTGAGATGAATTTAAACCAGGATTTGTTGGAAAAGAATGTCAAAATATGGCATTTTTACATTACAATGAGTAATACTATTGAACTATTCATCATTTAATTATTTATAATTCTTCTCCTCCTTTTAAGTTATATAGGAAGATAGTATGAGATTCACATATTCTTTATTAGCAACTTGATTTTAATTTGATCACTTATATTTTCTTTGACTCCTAGCATATCCTATTCTATGAGTTTTTAATTTGTATTTGTTTTAGTCATATTTATTAATCCTTCTTTATTTCAAAACAGTATGACTGTTGAAACAATTTCACTGTTCCATTGTTTTCCTGAATATGTGAAAAAAAAAAAAAAGTAGATAGTGTGATGTGTTGCATTCTCAACCCATGATTGCTGGCGTAACTCTTGAATATATGGAACCTTATCTTATAGGTAGCTGAAGATGGAATGCATTAGTTTTTGCATCAGTGACTGGGGAAGGAGATTTAGTACTTTTGTTTTTCTGGGGAAACAGTCATAACTTTTTCTACAAACTTAGTGTACCGGGGTATTCAGTGCCTTCATTGTTGCAGATAAACCTTATTTATCAAGGGTTTATTTCAAGACTAGGAACTAATATAGTGGAAACTAAACATTACATAGAAAATTATTATTATTAGTTTTTTTAGATTTTTATCCCTCCTTTTTCATGAATTCAGTGATAGATGCTTGCAAAGAAAAATAAACATTATGTTTTACAAAATTGTATTATGAAACAGATTTAAGAAATCATTTTAGCCAAAATATTGAAAAAGAAAATGAAGAAAACTTCTATGTTTTGCTATATAAACATGAAAGAAAGAGAATGAGAAAGGCTCTAATTAGCATTTCTCATCCTCTTTCTTTCATGTTTATATATAAACTGGCAAGCAGGGTCCCTGGTATTTCTGCTCTGAAGTAAGTCCTGTGAAAGTCAATAAAATTATTCTAAGAAGCAATTAAGTTATTCACACTTTTTAAAAATGTACATTTTATTTTTATGTCTTATGTGAAATGACTAATGATTAATAAAGTTAATTTGTAAAAATTTTAACATTATGTAATTTGCAAAACTAGTTTAATAAACTATATGAATAGTTTTTGCAGTTTACAATGTGCTGCTAAAATGCAGGTCTGTAGACTATATGATCATACATTTTAAATACTAGTTGCTAGAGGATAACAGGAAGAGTTTTAATAATGTTCAGTCTGTGTTTTTAAGCTTCCCAAATGTTTTTGATTGGCCGCTGTGTACTAGACAGACCATTGATCATGAACTGCAGAACTTTTCTTATGCTGTTATGTATAGAAAGTTAATTCTGTGAAAAACTGGCTGGCAAGTTAGAGACTGTGATCTTTCAGATGTTGTTCCCATGCTGACAGGTCTTCTGGAAGTTGTAGTCAGCAACCCTTGGACCATCACAAGTTTTCCATTTGGTCTATATGCACATTACTTACAGGTGGCCTGTTTCTTGATGACGACTTCTTGGAAACTCAGAAAGTTGTAACTATTTTATAAACCTATATATTATTTTCTATGAACAATTTTTCCTCCTAAATGCTGGATCTGGATTTTTTTTATCAATATGAATGGTATTATTTTCTATATTCAGCAAAGACTGTATTTGCTAATTATCTATGAAAACAGTATCTGAAACAAACAAAAACAAAAATATTTTTATCTAAGATATGTATTGTTTTAAAACTTCTTTTAATATAAAGTACCTTAACTGTTGCAGCATTTTCCATCTACTCTCTGGCACAAAGGATTGCATTTTGGAGAATATTTAATGATTTAATTACATTTTCAGATATTGATGAATGTAATGAGGATCCTAATATCTGTCTGTTTGGATCCTGCACTAATACTCCAGGAGGATTCCAGTGCATCTGCCCCCCAGGTTTTGTGATATCCGACAATGGTAGGAGATGTTTTGGTAAGCATCATGGTTGTAACAGGCAATAATAATAAACCCAAAAATTATGAGTGACTAAATTAACAATACTTTGGTTAATATGGAATCCTGATTCTTATTGAATAAAACTATTTCTATCTCCCCTTTCCATTTAAAACTTCATCAAACTGGTTAACAGGATCGTTAAAATAATAACAAATTAATTATATAAATGTGAAGAGGAAATTTAACAAATTCAGCCATATATGCCTTTTAAAAACTTTAGCAAATCAACGCCTAAAAGAAATCTCAGCAAGCTTCATGATACAGGGTTGGATATAAAATTTGTCATTGCTAATAAATAGGACTAAAGTGAATTGTGATTAGTGCAAATTGTTATCAGCAATCTCTACTAAGTCTTGATTAAAAGCAAGACAATGTATGGTGAATTACTATTTCTTACTGATAATAAGAGTCTAAATAGGAATATTTCCAAGTGAGAAGCTTGGATTAATTCATTCCTAATATGTGATTAATTACAGTGGTATGACCTTTGCTTTCTCTCTTAGATACTCGACAGAGCTTTTGTTTCACTAATTTTGAGAATGGAAAGTGCTCTATGCCAAAAGCATTTAATACCACCAAGGCAAAATGTTGTTGCAGCAAGATGCCAGGAGAAGGTTGGGGTGATCCATGTGAACTGTGTCCTAAAGAAGAAGAAGGTAGTGAAAACATTGCAAAGCTTTTCAAGAGAAGCAGAAAATGAAAACATGAAACTAATATATAGTGTCTCCAGTTATAAAACCGCGCTCATCAAGTCATCATATGAAATTGGAAGTAGAAAAACATGAGTTGGAACCTACAGTAGAAAAACTTTCTTAAGTTGTTTTTATTACTGGCTTATACTAGATGCTGAATAGCATTACAGCTATAGCTACTGATTACATTTTGGACGTACTCTCGTCAGCTGTATTCTTTATCCAAGAGCAATCAGAAAATTCCCGTGGTAGAATTTGTTTACATTTTTATTTAAATTATTGTAGACAGTTTAAATGACTGCTCTGTATGTTCTCTCTTTAGTGATGGTGTTTCAAACATTTTCTTTCACAGTTGCTTTTCAGGATCTGTGTCCATTTGGCCATGGAACTATACCTGGAATAGATGATACACGAGAAGGTATTAATTTTCTTCATTACCACTCCACTAAATAGCTCTATTCACTTTTTGTTTTATATAATACTTAAATGAAATTGAGTTTGGGATGGAACTCTTTTAAAATGTGATTTATACACTTTATTAAGGAAAGTGAGTATAAATTTTATTTCAGGAAAGTTCTCTGCCTCTAAGTGCAGAGTTATCATAAGGTAGCACAATGTTGTTTAATATTATTATCATTATAGTTAATGCTGGTTTATATCATTAATAAATATATCCCATTTATTGTTTTAAACATTAAAGTTGCTTAACAAAAAAAAAGTCTAATAAAATGTATAAAAACAAGTTTAATAAACATTTAAATATATAAATCATCATTAGTTAAAATGTTGATACCAAAATACTAAACAATTATCACTTCACATTTTAAAATGTAAAACTATACAGGTAGTCCTCACTTAACGACCATTCATTCAGCGACCGTTCAAAATCATGATGGTGCTGAAAAAATGGATTTAGGACCCGTGCTCAAAGTTATGGCTGTTGCATGATCAAAATTTGGGCACTTGGCAGCCTTCCCGCACTTATGACCACAGAGCTGCTGCAACTCCTCCCACCTGCCTATCTCTCGCCCCCATCTATGCCCTTTTGGCTGCCCTGCACAGCAGCACTCGGCAGTGGCAGAAGCATTGGGACTGGAGCTGAAGTAGTGGCCCAGGGCCTTTGGCAGTCTAAGCCAGCCACCACCATTCCCCAGGCCTCTACTTGAGCCCCAGCACTGCCGCTGCCACTGAGAAATGCCACCTCAAGCCCCACAGTGCAGCCAGCCACCCCAGCACCATTGCACAAAGCCCCAGTTGCCCCTGCCATCCTGCACTCCACAGGCTCTGCCATGCCTAGCTGATCTTTGCCACTTTCCTTCCACTGCTGATGAAGCGTGCCTGGCCTGACCCTACTGTATGCGAGGCATCTGCTGGCTGTGCCAGGCCTTCTTCCCGAGTCCATTCATACCATTCCTTCTCCAAATCACACATCCCATTCTCATGATCCTTTGGAAACCTTCAGGTCTTCCCCAGGTCTCACAAGAACGAGCATGCTATCTGGAGAACAGCAGAAGCCCCAGTCTCACAATGATTTGGAAGACCTCCAAATTCCTTCTCCAAATAGTGCGCCTGGTCTCATGAGACCTGGGGAAGACCAGAAGGATGTATGTGTTATTAAACAACTTTTTGTGCATTATTGTTATAGCCTCTCCCACCCCTTGCAGCACCCCTGTGCTCCTTACCTGGGACTCCCTCCGCTTAACAACCCACGATTCTTGGTTAATGATGACAACCAGTAGTGCTGGGATTGTGGTCACTAAGCAAAATGGTCACATGATGATTTGCTTTACACCCACATCATTTAGCGATGGAAATTCAGTCCCAATTGTGGTTGTTAAGCAAGGACTACCTGTAAAAATAATGCACAAAATAATTGTTTAATAACACGTATATCCTGTGTTAACATCTAATCAAATTTAAATTATTTTCAACAAATGTCTAAAGAGAATAAATCTGGCAAGTCACTGAAAGGATATTCTTCTATGCTCTTGGCACTGCTTCATGAAGGAAATTTTAATGGAAATGACAAGCAGACTTTAATGTTTTAAAATTTGAGGTATGTTAAAAATGTTCCCTTTTTTACTCACTATTTTTTTTAACAGACAAAAAGTGAAATTCTATTGTTCGATAATGGTATACTAGACTCTCGATAGAGAATAAAAGGTTTGGGATAACTTTTTTCTTTTAGACGTGAATGAATGCCTTGAGAATCCTGGTATTTGTTCCAATGGACACTGTATAAACACTGATGGATCGTTCCGTTGTGAATGTCCCTTGGGATACAACCTTGACTACACTGGAGTGCATTGTGTAGGTGTGTGCTCTTTCTGTACTATGCATTGTTTATACATTGCACGTATTGTAATCCTTAAAGTTCATAAACTTGGGTTGCATCCCAATTTTCAAACATTTGTTCTGCCTGTTATATCCTAGATACTGATGAATGTTCCATTGGTAATCCTTGTGGAAATGGCACATGTTCCAATGTGATTGGTAGTTTTGAATGCAATTGCCTGGATGGATTTGAACCTGGGCCAATGATGAATTGTGAGGGTAAGTTATCGTTTTTTTCTTCTGAGCATATTTCAACTGCTAGCCTGCTCTGGATACTTATCTGAATATTTAAAAGAGAAAAGGAAGAAAATAGACTCTAGCATTTTTCTAATTAACTATTTTTTAACTGCCTGGAATTAATTAATTCAGCTTAGGATGCCAGAAGCCCCACAATATTGCAGGGACACAAATAGTGACAATAATCTTACGTTTGTGCATTCCTGTATGTAGAGTGGGCTTGAGAGAGTAAAATATATGAGTGATAATTCTTTGGAATTGTCTATGTTGCTCCTCACCCCACCATAATATTTGACATCTATAGAACATACGAGCCATGTTTTAGATATCATTGATTTTCTCACCCAATTTTATACATGAAGCAATTATCTCAATTGGATGATGTTGAAACTCCCAGAATTCGTTAATATGGCTTAGGAAAGAGAGTCATAAATCATTCTTATTTCTAACCACCCTGACTCAGCAACAGATCTTTAAGAAGGACAATTATATGCTTTTTAACAGCTTTTAAAATCTTTTAAACTTTAATATTTTGTGGTTTTGATTATATTTTGTATTTTTTACATGTTATTATTTTATTCTATTTCAGTGTTAATTTTGGTTTGTTTTGAACATTAGAAGCTGATTCTGATATTAAATTCTTTCGTAAACACTTTAATAAAGTTGATTAAAGTGTACAAAGAAAGAAATTGAGAGAATCAATGTTGAACATAGCAATTTATATACAGATAAGTGAAAAACTGTTGGAAAAAATATAGTGGTTGAAATGGGAAAGGGATAGACTTTAAATATATTGCTAATCCATGGTTAGCTCTTCCCATATCTCCTCCCCAGTGGCATTTTAATCTGAGAGAGGGCATTCGAGTTTTCATCTTATCATGGGGAAAGGAAAGAGATTGATTTTACAAAAGATGCTCCATCAGAAAATTAATTCCACCCACCCCAATTCCTTGTTTACACTACTCTCTGCTACAGACATTTGGAAAGAGCATCAAATTGGTGTGATTACAGCGGTTTTAAGTATTCTGGGATAGAAATACTTTTAAAAAGTCTTTTTAAAATACTTTGTCCTATTTTTCATTACGTGCTCTACATTTGTAAGAACCTACTTGTTCCCATTTAGATCGCTTTTTAATGCATATGCACACATTTATCAGAATGGATGTAACTGAAAAATCAATATGTTTAATAAAATATAATATTACACAAGCTGTGTCCACGTGGGGTTATGCAGCATGTTGGCTGGACGCTGCCTGGCAAAGTTTGGCTAAGAGTAAGAGATCCACGTATGGCCAGTACACTAAAGCTTGTGTGTCGAAGTTGGGAGAATTCATTAATTCCTATCCCAATCTCTTTCCACACATAACTGCACCACACAGTTAGCATTAAGAAATGTGCAAAATTATTAATTATAATAATTATTATTATTATATTATAAATATGCTATTAAAATGCAAGTGTATTGATTCTGTTTTGTCTTGTCATTTAGATATAAATGAATGTGTACAAAATCCTTTGCTTTGTGCTTTTCGTTGTATAAATACCTATGGTTTCTATGAATGCACCTGTCCAGTAGGCTATGAATTAAGAGAGGACCAAAAAATGTGCAAAGGTAATCATATTGATATCTTAATAGCACTTTTGCCAGTACGATTTCTACAGAACAATGTATTCTGTAAATTTTTTGAGTGTGAAGCATGACAATTTACTGTAGAAGAAAAGGCTATTATTATAATTACAGTATCTTGTATGAAAGATACTTGTATGCAGAGTTTATAAAATCATAATAAAACAAGAAATATCTTTGGTATTATTAATTACAAAATATTGCTGTTCATAAATTATTTAATTGCTACATTATATTTCATTTTGGCTTTTTATAAGGTTACGAAAATCAGGATGCAATCCAATTCCCATTTAACTCTGGTATTAAGAAAAAAATAGATGTGTATTCTAACGTACACATTATTTTGCTTTCTAAAAAGATCTTGATGAATGTGCAGAAGGTCTACATGACTGTGAATCAAGAGGCATGATGTGCAAAAATCTGATTGGAACCTTCATGTGTATATGTCCCCCTGGAATGACTCGGAGACCAGATGGAGAAGGTTGTATTGGTAGGTATTAAGACCAGGTACTCTGTTCTTTGTAATTAAATCAAAAGCAAACAATTTGATTTAATAATTCATTGTTATACAGTGGTTGCTTTTAATATAGTGTATTTCTGATAATTATTGTTAAGGCATTATAATTGTGCACAATTGTCATCAGCAGATTATTAGACATACTGCTAAAGATTACAAATAAGGGTTTGTAATACAAATGCAAAAAAGGCTTGTTCAAGGGCAGTAGCTGGTAACGGGGCTAGTACAGGTAATACAGGAATATATTACCTTCCACATTCCAGAAACTAAGGCCAGGCAGTGCATAACTGAACAGATTGATGCAGAGTTGCCTATGCAATATATATTTCTCCCTGGCAACCCTGACATTATAGTTTCTAGGATTACTATGGAGGAGAACATTGCCAAGTCAATTTAGAATTATAAAAATAAATAATCTATATTTCACAAAGGAACCTCATAATAAGAGGCTTACATACAATTTGACTGGAATGTGTTGACACGTTAGAAATTGTCATGTGAGAATAAATAGTAATTACATTATCTTACTAATAAATCAAGGCAAACAAACTGACCTGGTATATTTTATTAGCTCTTATAGGTAGTCCTCAACTTACAACCATTTGTTCAGCAACTGTTTGAAGTTACAGCAGTGCTGAACGACTTACAACCGGTTCCCAAAGTTACAGCTGTTGCAGCGCCCCCATGGTCATGTGATCAAAATTTGGGTGCTTGGCAGCCTGCCCACACTTACAACCACAGGAGCACTTCAACTCCTCCCACTCACCTATCCCCCCCCATCTATGCCCTTTTGGCCCCCTGAACTCTGTGGCCCCTGCCACCTTAGCTGACCTTCATCATCTTCTTGCTCCCACTGCTGACCAAGCATGCCTAGCCTGGCCCTTTGCAAGGCAGCTGCTGGCCACACAAGGCTTTCTTCCCAAGATCACGCATGGAACTTTCCTTGCAAGACCTGGGGAATATGGCCTCCCGTGGCCAGGAGCTGCCTTGCGAAGGGCCAGGCCGGCCATGGCAAAGGTTAGCTGGGGTCGCGGAGCACAGGGCAGCAGGGGCCTTGGAGTGCAGAGTGGAGAGGGTGACTGTGGCTAATATCATCAGTAGTGGTGAATATGAGGTTTGCTCCCTGATTATATACAGTAGCTTGCCCTGCCAGTGTTGGTGGGGATGTGGTTTTCTCCTTGGTAGTTCGTTCATTAGGGTATTGTTTTCTGCTTCATTGTTTGTCTGGTGCAGGTTGCTGGAGACGATGTATTCTAGTCTTTTTTGTTTCCTTCTTAGCTTTTTTTATGCTTTCTTTCTTATTTCGATGGACAGTCTATTGAAAAACAATCCACACTAACCGTGTTCCATTAAGCAACAACCACCCTGCCACAAGAGTAGCTGTGTAACATTATTCAGATGAGTACAAACACACTGCAGCAACCCAGAACACCAGAAAAAAGAAACAGACCACCTATACATCATCATACAACAAAATGGATACCCACGCAACTTTATCAAGAAGTGCCTGACCATTCAACCCACTACAGCACAACCAACACAAACCATGAAAGGATAACACTGCCTTACATCAAAAACATCTCGGAAAGAGCCAACAGACAGCATCACCGTAGCACACAAACCAACTAAAGCCCTCCAAAATATCTTAAGTAAACCAAAAGACCCAATAGCCCGAGAAGAGAAAACAGGAGTATGTTTTAGATAATATACAGTTACTGTTAAAATATACATATAACAGCAACATATAATATACATATAACAGCCACTATATAGGACAGGCAGGCAGAAGACTAAAAGAGTACATCCATGAACACCAACTAGCAGTCAGAAGACACCGATGAATACTCCTTAATCTCACAACACATGGACAGACTCAACCATAGTTTCAACTGGAAAACTGTAAGCATCCTAGACCTAGCTAAATCCAAAAACACTAGGGAATTCCTGGAAGGTTGGCATTCAGACAAATCAGACATCAATAGACACACAGAGATAAACCACATTTACAGGCCATTAAAAAGAAATAATAAAAAAGCTAAGAAGGAAACCAAAAGACCAGAACACATCCTCTCCAGCAGATAAGCAGGGATTAACAGCAGGCAGACAATCAAGCAGAAAACAATACCCTAATCAAGGAACTACCAAGGAGAAAGCCACACCCCCACCAACCCCCACCAGGGCAAGCTACTGTATATAAACAGGGAGCAAACCACGCGCTCACTAGCACTGACAATGTTACCTAGTTGGGTAATGGAATGTCTTCAAGAAAACTTCAAGCTCAGCGATCACCAAGGACTCCACAGTTCAAACCTGAGCTACACATACGTATTCTCTTCTATTGGACATTCTTACATTGCATATTTGTCCTCCTAGAAAAACATTCTCTAGAACCCTAAGTTGGAGATCAGTGTGTTTGTCTTTGGTTCGCTTTATTCTCTTCTTTAGTATCCCAGTTTCAAGTTTCAACATTTTACCCCTAGCTTACGTGCTTTTTAAAATGTAAATAAATAGGATTGGGGACCTAAACAGGATTGAGACTATAGTACGTGGGGAAAGGTGCTTTAAATCCTTTCATACTCCCACCATTCACCATGATAGAAAAGTTCTTAAGAATTCTTCCCCTGGAAATAGCAAGTGATTAGGCAACAGTTCTGATGGAGAGCTGCTTGGTACATCAGCCTGCAGATCCCTATGAAACAATAATCCCCCCCACACACAAAAAACCGCATTGAATTGCTTTTAGAAATGCAAGCATATAAGGACTAAGAGCATAAATAATATCATTTATTTTGTACTCAGTATAACTTGTTTCTCAGGCTAGGATTTTTTAGCCTCAGTAGGATTTTTTTTTAATCTGCTGTATCGAAAGTGTAGCTTTCATTTCAAATTGTGGGAATTGTGGTTATTCTGTTCGCATTTGTGCTATTTCATTGTTTTGTTTTCTTTCGATCAAGATGAAAATGAATGCCACAGTAAGCCTGGTGTTTGTGAAAATGGCCGTTGTATAAACATTATTGGAAGTTACGTGTGTGAATGTAATGAAGGGTTCCAGTCAAGCCCATCTGGAACTGAGTGCATTGGCAAGTAAATTTATATTCCCTGGTTTCTGCGTCTGTTTGAAACAGAATAGTTTTGTTTTTGTTTTTTCAAAAGATCAGCCTTTACTAACTTTAATCTGTATTATGAGGATCATTTTGTAAAATTTAGTTTGATGTAAGAGATATAAGTTATTATTCCAATTGATATGTTTTCAACAATCAAAGGATTTGCGATAAAAGTTATTAAACGTGAAATGCTGGTTAGCGCTAAGCTGCTATTGTAGCTAAAATCCTAATTTTATTTCATGAAATATATATTTAGATGTTGTTTTAATGAAAATAAAATCTTTTTTTTCCAAAACTAATGCTACTAGGAATCACGATTGAAAAATGTGAAATTATTTTAACAGAATCAAATGCTTCTTACTTAAATGTGTGTTATTTCTCCAAATTTATTACACAGACAACCGACAAGGTTTCTGCTTTGCTGAAGTCTTACAGACAATGTGTCAGATGGCCTCTAGTAGCCGTAATCTTGTCACCAAATCAGAATGCTGTTGTGATGGTGGAAGAGGGTGGGGCAATCAGTGTGAGATTTGCCCGCTCCTAATAACAACTCAGTACAAGAAACTATGCCCACATGGTCCGGGGTACACCACTGATGGGAGAGGTATTCTGCATGGGACCTTAGGACAATTTTTTTATATTTTTCCTAACGGGGGGGGTAGATGGTGTATAATATTACCTTTAAAGCTAAGGATGCTCTTGATTTTGAAAGCGGAAGAATATTGTGGTATAATTTAGTTGTATTGCTTATCAAACAATTTCATTCGCAGACAAATTTTCCTACACAGTTAATAGTTTAAATGGATAGTTTCTATTGATTTAGATTATAGAGAAGATTATTCATTGATAAGCAGCAAGAAAATTCATTGTTAATTAATTGTCAAACCTTCCCAGTCTCAAGAGAACGTACAGCATAGTCTCTGATGGTTAAAATTTTAATAATATAAATTATTATTACAAAGTTTAATGTAAAATTATACTTTTGTAGGTTAAAGTTTTAATAATTACTGTTGTCTAAGCATGACCCATAGATGCACACATACACACACTCATACTCACTTGCTCTAGTACACGCTGGCCAGGGGATGCGCAAGGATCGGGGAAGACAGGAGGATTCCAGAGATGATTATTCTGGGCCAGGTAGAAAGGACACTCTTGTATACAGTAGTGGGGGCAGTGGTTAGGGAAGTGGGGAAAGGAAGGCAGTGGGATGTTCTGGGAAGGGATGGGCAGACCAAAAGGATTTCTGTGCTGAATTCAAGGAAGCTGTACTGACAGTCATAGCATATCCAACCAATCTGCTCACCCCCCTTCACTCCAATCTTCCCAGCACCTTCCTTTCCTTACCTCTGCTTGAGGTACCTAGAACTGCTTGAGTACCTAGAACTGCTGCTTCTACTGGTCTTGCCTTTTCCCCACTCCCCACCCCTACCCCAAATCACTTCTGCCTAAAACATGCATGTTTCTGTAAAGACATGGACCATCCAAAGATGGCAATTCTTTTGCACAACCTACCAAATATCATATTCTAGTTTCATTGAAAACATTGATACTCACTGTTGTGTAACAATGCATTCTCTAATTCTCAACAAAACCTTTTGGGCCAAATAAAATACATTCTCTAAAGCATCCTCAACAAATGTACTTATCATAGTAGCATACTCTAAAAATTCCATTGAAATAAATAGAAGTGAAAATAAGTAAAAATAATACCTGCTATTAATATTAATAGGCATCACAGTTTGAACAGTGAAATTCTTAAACCATTAATAGAGCAAACTATTGGCTGTGAGTGAGACAAAAGTAGCAAGGTTCTACTGAGATTTGCAGGGGCGGGGGAGGAAAAGGGGTTGTTTTTTTATAGAAAAATTTCTCCCATTTGAGAGCAATGGGTAGAACTATAATTACAAGAGCTGTTACCCTTCCAAGGCCTGCTGGGACAGTTACACTGAGATTTACTTACTTTATTTATTTATAAAAATTATAACCTGAATTTTTCAATGGTTTTTAATTCTTAGTATGCCCTCATTTTCATTCTGTCTGTAAGAGTGTTGGCTTCTCTACTGGTGAATCTTTTTGTTCATGGACAGAAAGATATTGCACTTTGACACCTACAAAAAACTCCTAAACTTGTAGGATTATGGCTATTTAATTTATGTTTGTTTAGTGGAGTCATGTATTTGATTAGCTGTAAATAGTTACATGCCAAAATAAAAAAATGCAACATATTTTTTGTTCCATAGATATTGATGAGTGTAAGGTCATGTCAAATTTATGTAGACATGGCCAGTGCATAAACACCATGGGTTCCTTCAGATGTTTTTGTAAAGTTGGCTATACGACTGACATTAGTGGTACTTCTTGTGTGGGTAAGTTTTATCATAGCCTTTACTTTTACTTCTATATTGAAACTATCTTATAACCTGCTATATTTTCCATTTTATAAGTGATTTAAAATATTTTGATGTAAAGTCTCAAACTTTTTATTTGCATTTCCTCCAGATATAAAAAGTTCTCTACAATTATATTCCTGATTCAAGACAGTCTCAACTTCTCATGTCAACAGGAATATGCCTTTTAACATAATCCCTGTATTTTAATCAAAAATAGTGTTCTTGTTTTGTTTTGTAGAGATCCACAGCCCCTAATTAAACTCCTTCTTGAATTTTATTTTTTCTTATATTTTAACTCTCACCCTTTCATTCTTTCTCTTACTGTATCATAGCTCAAACTGGAAAAAAGGCACACAATAAGGATTTTTTTGAGGCTGTACAGTTGACAGTTGTAGTTCAACTTTCCTTGGGAAACTCTCCATTTAAGTTGGTGAACAGAGCAAAAAGGATTTTCATGAAGTAGGAATTGGGAAGTAGGGTTGATATCATAATTTACTCTAAGCAAGGTAGTATATTTGCCTTTAGAAATACCTTTTTATGCAGATTGGAAAGTAGTGATGTCACTGTTTTATAATGTTATAATTTGGAACTCAAGCTTGCATAGCTTCCTATATGAACTATAAACTTGATATTGTGAGTTTAAACTTTCTGAAATAATTTTTTCTCAATCAACTTTCCAAATTTGATTGGAACTGCTTAACTAATTCTGAATTGAGCTGAAGGATTTTTTCCGTTATTAATTGAGAACTTAGAAATTCTTACTGATTTCCAACTTGTTTGGCCTTTTTGCACCATGAAGAAACTTGTCTTTGGTTAGAGCTGAACATGGTTTTTAAATAAGCATTATCAGGCATAGTTCACTGGCTTCATGTTGGAACAAATACTATTGAATAAATTAAACTTGAATATGAATTATTGTTGTAATTAGATTGACAATTATTATTATAATTAGATCTTGATGAATGCTCCCAGTCTCCCAAACCATGCAATTTTATCTGCAAGAATGCTGAAGGAAGCTACCAATGTTCGTGTCCACGTGGCTACAGCCTCCAAGAAGATGGAAAGTCCTGTAGAGGTAAAAGATTGAGTAACTCAATGGATTTTCTAACCAATTAATTTATTCTTATATAATACAACAAAGCTAATCAAAACATGAATAGCATAAAATCTGGCTTATTGGATTCAATGTTCTTGCAAGATGCATTGCCTCTACTGCAGTGAGGGAAGAAGCAGGCAGGATCAATCTTGGAGTTCCTGTCATTTGTGAAACACCACAGTGGTGGTGTTAAAAAATGTTTTTACTCTGAACATACGGCAAACGGTACAGTACAATTTCTGCTTGATTGCAAGGCATGCTGGATAAAATAGGAAGTGCTGAAATGGCCATATACTTCAGTGAACAATAATAACTAGAACTATAGAGTCCAACTGCATCTATTGGATTGTTTATATATTGCAGTTCTGCATGCAAATGTGTAAAGACATTGCCATTATTCCATTCTTACTGAGCATTTTTGTGAGTTTTTAAAGATGCTTCCCTATACACAAATCCTTGGGGAAGCATTGCTCAGGGACCCCTGTAACTTCCCTTTTATGCTTTTGCAGGGATGCCATTCCCTTCACCCCGCACCCATTATAAAGAAAACCCTCACCAAAGTCACTGCCTGCCCAACTGACAGCAGGACAGGCCTGTTGCTTTCTCTGAAAGCAAAACTGGACAGCACAGAATATGGAGTCGTAACAAAACTAGGATCCTGAGAACTCCAAACAAAACAAACAATCTCTGAGAAAGCCGCTTAGGGTGGAGTCTTGAACGGCACATACAGTACTGTGCAAAGGTTTTAGGCAGGTGTGAAAAAAATGCTGTAAAGTAAGAATGCTTTCAAAGATATATATTGTAACTGTTTATGTTTATCAATTTACAAAATGCAAAGTGAACTAACAGAAGAAAAACCCAAATCAAATCAGTAGTTGGTGTGGCCACCCTTTGCCTTCAAAACAGCATCAATTCTTCTAGGTACACTTGCACACAGTTGTTGAAGGAACTTGGCAGGTAGGTTGTTCCAGACATCTTGGAGAACTAACCACAGATCTTCTGTGGATGTAGGCTGCCTGAAATCCTTCTGTCTCTTCATGTAATCTCAGACAGATTCGATGATGTTGAGATCAGGGCTCTGTGGGGGCCAAACCATCACTTGCAGGACTCCTTGTTCTTCTTTAGGCTGAAGATAGTTCTTAATGACATTGGTTGTATGTTTGGGGTGGTTGTCCTGCTGCAGAATAAATCTGGGGCCAATCACACACCTCCCTGATGGTATGGCATGATGGATAAGTATCTGCCCGTATTTCTCAGCATTGAGGGCACCATTGATCCTGAGCAAATCTGCAATTCCATTTGCAGAAATGTAGCCCCAAACTTACAAGGAACCTCCACCATGTTTCACTGTTGCCTGCAGACATTCGTTATTGTACCGCTTTCCAGCCCTTCAGCGAACAAACTACCTCCTGCTACAACCAAATATTTCAAATGTTGGCTCATCAGTCCAGAGCACCTGCCGCCATTTTTCTGCACCCTAGTTCCTATGTTTTTGTGCATAGTTGAGTCACTTAGCCTGTTTCCACATCAGAGGTATGGCTTTTTAGCCACAATTCTTCCATGAAGACCACTTCTGGCCAGACTTCTCCAAACAGTAGATGGGTGTGCCTGGGTCCCACTGGTTTCCACCAGTTCTGTGCTGATGGCACTGCTGGATATCTTCCGATGTCAAAGGGAAGTAAACATGATGTATCTTCCATCTGCTGCATTAATTTCCTGGCTGACCACTGTGTCTACGGTCCTCAACATTGCCCATTTCTTTGTGCTTCTTCAAAAGAGCTTGAACAGCACATCTTGAAACCACAGTCTGCTTTGCAATTCTTGCCTGGGAGAAACCTTGCTGATGCAGTAGAACTACCTTGTGTCTTGTTGCTGTGCTCAGTGTTGCCATGGTGTATGACCTGTGACATGAA